GTTTAATCACAGCTGATTGTAGGAGACTTGGCCTTAAGACTTGGTCTGAGATCTCTTCCAAGCTGGGTGACAGCCAACTTAGAGGACCGCAGTGAGTGCACTTGGAAACCACAGTCAGCCTGGTGAATGTGACAGCAACAAAAACTGGGGAAATTACTTCTGATTGATAGAACAAACAGGTAAAGAAAAAGTATCAATCAGATGTCATCTTCAGAGGTTTTCCTTTATCTTAGGTAAATCACTCCCTTTCCACCTCCCTAGAGATGTTTGCATAGAAGCAGCTAAGAGTGACTGACAAGCATATGCGTAGACAGACAAAGCTTTTTTCAAGGCAGGGAAGAGGAGGGCTGCAGTATAATGTTTCATGTATAAACATGCTTCCTCCATCCACTCAAGGAGAGTGCTTACTATTCAGTAATAAGCTTTTGCAAAATAATCTGCATGTTATAGAAAAGCCTTTCCCATGTTTGGGCAGCAGAGAGGTGGCTTTGGGTGTTGTAGTTGTGGGCAAGGCATGAGCTAAGGGTGAAATACAAGTGAGGCTCAGTGTTAGGGACAAGAGAACTGTGACTAGATGAGATGCCTCAGATGCAATAAAGCTTAGGTCTTGCAGAAAGTTCTTGCAAGGTCTTGCCTAAAAACTTGACATTTTGTGTATCAGGTATTTGTGTGATTCTACCAGCTGCATTGGTCTAAAAACAATGTTTGATTCGGGTCTCTTCAGCTGTAGAAAACCATAGAAAAGTGGATGTAGACACCAAGTTTTGAATTCAATTTTCCATTTTCTTTTCTCTACCTCTCCCTTAAGTTTGGGAAGAATTAGTATTTTAGGCTACTTTCCTGAAGAGTTGTTTGATTATGTGATCTCTATCTGTCCATCAGTCCTGGATGACTTGGGGGCCTGCTGGAACCCTCAAGTGTAGACTTCTTAGAGGTATGAAAGTTCTGTGGTTTTATGAAACCACAGTGAAAAGGACCCGTGTGGTGCCCAACCCTGTATAAGACAGGAAACCCTTTACCACTGTAAGGAGCAGCTGGATGATGTTAGCAATCATAACTCCTATATGTGCTGGCATTTGCTTCCAAAAGGAGGTGAAAATGGCCAGGAGCTGGTGTGTATGGGAGCGAGAGTGAAGATTAGGACGTACGATATCCACATCTTGTTTGGCTTCCTAGTTTCCCCTGCTCAGGGTGTATCTTGTTTTTCATTCTGTTTCCGTTGCTGCTTTTTTAATTTGTTTGTTTGTGTCATCTATCAAGTTTATCATTATGTGCTCATGCACATAAAATCTTTATTAGCCATGCGTATTCTCTATTCTCTTTTTTAATTTTCCTTCCTTCTTTCTTCGTTAACAAACCCTGCTGATTGCAGATGTTTCCCGTTTGACAGCACCTAAGGCTTAAGGTTCTCCAACCACGCAACAAGATGAACTTGCATTCCCAGCCAAAGCTGGGGCCCCAGTCCTCCTGGAGATCAATATAGTCCAGAAGAGAAATAGAAGTTGGGCTGTGATCTTAAGTGTGGTTATAAACAGGGATGTTTAGGGTCCACATCTCTGTGCTTCTTCAGTCTCTTTGAAGCAGCTGGCTAAAGGAGAGGTGAATCAGCGTCAGCGCTGAGACTGAGAAAGTCCTGTGTGCTCCACGTCCCACTTCATCTGGTTTCAAAAGCCTTTGAGTGGTGGTTACATGTTGGCTGTGTCTGGTTGCCACCAGCTTATTTTGACTTGGCCCCTGCCCTGGCAACAATATCAAAGAATGTATTTTCTCACTAGTTCTGAGGGTTAGCACTCTCACCCCTGTAGCAAGCAAAAAATGGGTAGGAAAAAATTTCAGGAGCTTTGCACCAGTTTTCTCAAGTGAAAATGCTGTCCTGACACCTTCTACAAAAGGACCCAGTTTGCCCCTGTGGTTGCAGTGATAGGTCCATTTCTTAAAATGTAACTTGAACAGTAAGGGGCCATGCAGTTGCAGTCTAGACATGTATCTGTGTTATGGCTGGGCACTTTGGAACAACGGTGAGGAGACTATTTCTGCACCAACATCTCTTGAAAGCCTTCCTAACAAATCCTTCCCTAGAGAGTCTTCTTCTAAGATTATTCTGCCTTGAACAGGTGGAGTGAATAAATCATTTTCTGGCCCGAGCCTTTTATCATCCCTTTAAGGGACACCAATAAACCGTTTGGACTGTCCACGTGGGAATGGCATAGCCTCTGATTTGTGCCCCCTCTCCTCACATGCCACAAACCCTCTGTATTTTTTCAGCCTTGTTTTTCAGTAAGGATGAGACTTTCTTTTCAGGCCCTAATGTTAGCTGAAAGCAAATGAGGTAGGTGGAGGAATCAGGAAACAAAGTTCTGGGACATCTTTCACTGGTACCCTGTTCTTCACTGGTTCCCAGTTTGTTCCTTTGCCACTTGATCTACATCGTGCCTATGTAAATAAATACGGGACTTCTTTAGCCAAAGTCCCACAGTTATTCCACAAAAAGGGTAATGAATGGCAGGGATGCAGAGCACATAGACAGTAAAAAGATACTCGGTGTGCTGGGCGCAGAGTCCTCTCTGAAAGAGGGCAGAGGTTTGCAAATCAGATCCCTAAGCAGATCCCGTGGGAGAATGTTCCTAGACATTTGTAAAATAAGTGGGCAGGAAGGCTGGAGTCACCCATGGAGGGATGGACCTGGGTAAGAGCTGCAGTGAGGGGCACTGCTAAGTGAACAAAATAGTCAGGTAGAGAAAGAGTTAGAGGTAAGACCAAGTACCTTGAACTTGATAAGATAGGGAAGAGGAGGAGGCTGAGAAAAGTCTCGTCATTCCTGACAGAGCAGCCTTTTCATTTGTTGGCTGCTCATTCCTTGTACTGCCGAGGTGCGCTTCCCTTCTTTAGTTACGTGTGGTTCTCCCCTCCTGAAAAGCTGCCTTCAGTGTCTAGCAGCATCACGGTTTATCACAGTGTCATTTTCAGGTTACACCAACAACGCAAAAGCGAAATATGTGTGTGTCATGTCTCATTTACTCAGTTGCGGAGTCATTCAGGGGCATCTTCTACTTGTGCTGATTGTCTCTAAGCTGTAGATTGGGCTGCAGTCCTGCAAGTGCGTCACGTGTTTCTTAGGATTGCAGCCACTGTAGTAGTGAAGACGGGGACAAGTCCTGAAGGATATGTCAGTGAAAGCCTCCACAAATCACCAGATCTAGTTCTCCTGCTCCGTATAATTAGTGATTAAAATGAGTAAAAACAAAGCAGCAATTTTCTTATTGATCCCTCAGCAAATAGTTCTGTCTATTTCCTTCTGTGTTGTTTCTTCTTATTAAATAGCCTTGAATAAGAAATGTCAGTCAAATGGATTTAGATTTCTGGTGCTTCAGACAGAAATCAAAGCAGGGTGGAATGAAGAAAGATAATTAGAGAGAGGAATTCCACCTCCACAGGCTTCTTCCCTTGCTCAAGGAGTGCTGATTTTATCTAAATTGCCAAAGCCGTGAGCAAATGAGAGGTGATGGGAATTATAGACTGCAGATGCTGAGACAAAGCAAGGGAAGCTTTAATTAGTGCATTTTAAGCTAGGAATGAATTTCCTGGGAATAAATTATTTGACTCAAGACATATGGAGCTTCTTAGAGGTGAACCGAAAACCTTTTTACATGCCAGAACCAGGGCTCACAGGTGGTATCTGTCTTGTAGAAATGAGTGACACATCACTGGAGTCTGAAACACATAGGGATGAAACATCCTCTCCTTTCATTTATTTTGGGAGTTTTTGTTGTTTGTTGTGGGTTTTTTTTAGTGTGGAGGAATTACCATTGCTGCAGATTCCCACCAATGCAACAGAAAGCAGATTTATTTTTTTTTTCCTATACTCATACTTACTCATTCAACTGTTTGTAACAGACCTACTGATTCTGACGTGTTCAGCCTAGAGGTACTGAAAGGAAGTTACTTTTCTTTCGAATTCTCCTCTTATTTTCCTTTTTTATCTCTATCAGTGTCCTTTCATTACATTTACGCACACGTAAGGACACTGGGAACCTTAAAACACTGACCTTTCTATTTTTCAAGAGATTTCCACAGCTTTTCAAAGTATGAAACAGTGACAACTCTCTACTGTTTGCAGGTAGATAGACATTCCTGTTTGAATTGATGGAGCTGAAACAAAACCATTTAGCTGGATGCTTCAATCCAGAACTCCCTGACTTCAGCAGAGTTGTTCAGGCTCTTAATTATTTACGTTCCGTGTGAGGTAATTTCTCACAAACCTTGTTGAAACAGGCGGGAGTGGGGCCGGGACCAGAGCTAATGGTTATGGGATGGGAGTGCTTACGGACGGAGGTGCTGCACAAACAGAATAAAATGATTTTGCCCCTCCAAGAACAACACTATTCTCCACTGCTCTGAAAAGGAGGAATTGAAAACATGTTGAGAGGCTGGGGGATGGACCAACCCCTGTCCCCCACTCCCCAGCAGCACCTTTCCAACAGCTTAGGGTTGGCTGATGGTGGTGTTCTATGTGAGATATCAGTATGACCTGGAAAATCAGCCTGTCTTCCTGTCCTGGGATAAACCACCACTCGTGATCCTCCAGATATCCTGCTCTGCTCCCGGCCGTGTGTGCAACATAATGTACTTGCCTGTGGCAGGGGGATTGGAACTAGATGATCCTTAAGGTCCCTTCCAACCCAAACCACTCTGTGATTCTATAATAATAAAACAGATGAGTAGAGCAGGGCTACGACCTTGTGACGTCAACTCAGTCTTCTTGATGAAGGAAAACAAGTATCTCTGGGAAAACAAGTATCATGCTCGCTGGTTTTTCTAATGTTCTGGTTGCCTGTTTCAGACGTTGCTATTTTGGTCTATAGGTTAATCTGTATTACCCGTGATGAATGAATGCGGTCAAGAGGTATTGAACGCTGATGTGTTTATCTTATGGCAAGATAGAAATGTTGCAAACTTGTGAGCTACGGGAGGAAATGGGCTAATTTTAGATTTGTTCCTAGCCCTCGCCATGCGAATGGTGTCGCTGCGAGCCCAGCAATGAAGTTCACTGTGTTGTAGCAGACTGCGCAGTTCCCGAGTGTGTCAACCCAGTCTATGAACCAGAACAGTGTTGTCCCGTCTGCAAAAATGGTAAGAAAGTACTGTATTGGCTTTAACAAAGAGATATAAAGGAAACATCGTATTAAAATGTTGTTACTGATGCATAGCCAGGAGATTTACTTCCATCAGCACAGACCGGCTCTGAGGCAGTTCCTTCTCCTTGTCTGTGGGCTTCAGGTATGGAGTGGCAACTGTGGAAATTAAGGCTGCCCTTCCCAGCCTGTGCCTTCTCATTGAAGCTGATGGGATCAGTGACTTGAGTAAAGCTATATACGATTGAATCTTGATAGCAGTGATAGTTGTTTCATGTTTTTGCTTTTTTCTCATAGTTAGTCCAACATGAAATCAAGTATGTAAGAAAAGAGATGTCCCTAAATTAAGAAACCAGTGGTTCTTACCTAAGACCAGGGGAAAACTCACCGAAACCAATGACAAAACTTCCATTGGGGCCAGTAAGACACCCGCCGAGCTTGTAACGTTGTCATTAGCTGTGTGCTGGAGTCTGTGTGTGTAGTGTTGGCCCTCATGGTCCTGATCATGAATTGGAGTTCGATTCAGCAATACTTTCAAGAAAGGTTTTGGGATGACTGAAAGTACCTCTTTGGAAAATAAATCTCTTTACAAGAAGGTCTCCCCGGTCTTCTACTGCAGCCCATATGCACATAGGTCACTGTAAAAGCACCTTTCTCTTAATGCAGATATGAAGACAAATTAAAAGGTGAGCTAGCTTCACATAAACCTCTCCATAGCTTTCTTAACATATAAGAAATGACTACTTAGACTCATCTTCTCATGTTTAGAATTCACTATCCATATATATTTCCTCTTAGATACATCACCGCTGCAGGGTAAGAGTAATGGTTGCTTTTGGATCTAAATGAAAATGTTTACAAGGAAATAACATTTTCAACACATTTTCTGCTCTTCAAGACGGAGACAAAGCAAAGAGATGGAAATGCAAAATATTTTTACTAAGGGAATTGGCAAAATTAAGACCAGTCTGGAAAATTATACCAAATACACTGCTTGAAATCCTGAGGCTTATATTAAACCATGATTTTCACTCAGAAGTATTTTTGAAAGGTTTTCATTTAGAGTTTTATTTTCTGTTGAAAAGCAGAAAATGTTCATAGGAAATTTCATTGGTTTGTTGTTGTTGTTGTTGATGAACTTCAGAGAAAAGGTATGTTGACCAGCTCTATCCACCATCTTTGCGTATGGCCTGCTGCGCTTGAGTGTGACGTTTCCCATCTCACTCAACAAGATCGATGCCTTGGATTGGTGACTGGGAGGAGTGACGCTGGCCATCGCCATGCCTGCCACTGTACCTCAGACTCATCTACACCCAATGAAACACCACTCATGTGTTTGGCCTCTGTGTTCCCATCACGTGTAGGGTACCATGCTGGGTTCCCCTCATTTACGGTGGCAGCACTTGCCGAGTCCTTCCCATCTGGTTTGTGTCACGTGAATCCAAAGTGTGAGCATCGCTCAGGCTTCCCAGCAGTGCAGAGTCAAAGGTGTCTTCACACAGGCCCAGGAGCTGCTGGGTTTCTCTACAGCCCTTCACCACCATGACCATTTACCCCAGTAAGCAGACTCCCACGCTTTTGGGGTCAGTGGCTTTCTGTGTTGCAGTCTCCAACATCCCTGGTGATCGTCCAGATATCCTGCTCTGCTCCCTCTGCATCTTTCTTCCAAAACCAGTCACAGGTGCCCAGATAACCAGGAGGAAAGGGAAGGAAGCAGCTCCTACTGATGGGAATGAGGACAGGAGGACAGTTGGAAAATCAGCCACCTGCTGAAGGGGCTGCAGGGCACACTGCAGTGATGGGAACCTTCAGCTGGAAGCCAGGAGGCTTCCTCCATAGTTTTGCCAAATTTCTCCACTCCTCTCTTCACTCACCTGTTGGAGATACAGATATAAAGTTCTCCGAAACCTGGTTTAGGCAGAAAAGTATTTCTCACCGTCCTCTTAAGAGCATCTAGCATACCAGGGAGACCGGGGCTTGCAGCCAGCGGTGGGTGAAGGGGAGAGGCGATGCGATGGCGTGGCTGTTCCTTGGGATTGAGGAGCAGATCTACACGGTGGGGTAGGGATGAGATGTGAGCCCATCAACCAGCAGGGCTTTCTGCTCCTCCTGCTGCAGCTGGAGCTGACTGGCTAATAGTTGGGCAGTGCTTGTAAGCTTTGGCTTTATCCTTTGCAAATAAATGAAATGATTCACGTGGTCATAGAAATTAGTAAACGCCAAGATAGTCTCTTCAGATTCCCTGTTGTCACAGGGGATCTGAAGAGCAAATTTTGTTACTGCTCTGGGACACGGCTCCCGAGTGTGGCGCACACTCTTCACCTCCTACTAATGCTTTGGGAACTTCATGTGAAAGAGTAATAGATGTTGCCGTGTCTCTTCCCCTTCTGAGTCCCTCTGACACATCCTAATGAATGAGAATTGCAGCGCTTTAAGCTGTCTGTTCATCTTGAGACCAAGATGTCATCTTTCGGCTCTCCACTGCAGCCAGTCAATTAAAGCTCAGTTTCACAAATGCATGAAGATAACACAAGCTGACAGACCCACTTAAATGACTGAAAACTCTTTTTTTTGTTAATTTATTTGTTTTTTCCCTTCCATTCAGTAGCTTGTGCTTTCTACCAAAGTGGTGAAGACAGTTATAGTGCCATGCTTTGGTGTGATGAATAGATTTTAGCTTAGTCTCAGGCCCTGTGGTCATCATTTTAGACTGGCAAACAGAATTGCTCAAGGCATATGGCTGTTGGGTGAGGAAAAAAAAGGTTAATCCCCAGAGCAACTTGTAGTGCAAATCCTTGTTTCAAAAGCTACTCCTTAAAATTTTGGGAAGGAAAATCCTTTAGGTTCAACACAGCCATGCATCATTTGCTGCACTCTGCTAGCAGCCTGGCTTGCCTCCTTGTTTAGCTGTTGCTGCCATTAATGGGAGAATAATTTCCTCTCGATACATTCAGATGGATTTTCATGCCTTTCTTAATTATGTCTTGCCAAGGGCAAAAGTGCTGTGAAGCAGTGAGGTTAATGCAAAAATCTGTTGATTCTAACATACCTGACCTGAAGATTCATAAAAAGCCAATATCAATTTCCCTCCTTCTACCATCATTTAAGAGCAGTCTGAACAAGTGGCTTTGGAGATTTATTCCATATTTTTGGAAGGAATAGAATTGTTGTCTCATGCTTCACTAGACGCTGTAGCTTGTGTGAAGCTGGCTCTGCTCGGCAAGGGATGCTGCATTACACACGGAGCAGACGGAGTTCACTGGGAGGCTAAAATCTGGGGTTGAGGGAGGGAGGAGACGTTTTCTCCTTCATGTCCCATCGTTGAATTTGTCAGAGTAGATTTTAAGGGCAATGGCTCCAGGTGCTGTGCAGCATTTCTACCGTGGAGATGAAAGGTCACTGGATTTCACGTTTCCTAGTAGTGACAGGCTGCAGAATTACGGCCCCGAGTTGTTATTTCTGGTCATTGTGACTTCTCCAGACAAAAGTGTGTCAGCCATTGTTAACTCTCTCCTCTGCGGGATCTAAAACTTGCCTATCTCTGTTAGAATCAAGCTCGTGGCTGCCACCATCTGTGCTACCACTCCTGCCCCCAGGTTCTCCTGCAGTTCAGTGAGAACATCCATCCACTCTGCTTACACCAAAGCTGCTTCTGAGCAAAAATCCCCCGTGAGGTCCTCATCCTCCTGTGTTCAGGCTGTAGGCATGCCTGTGTAGTGTTACTCATCCTTCCCCTGGTTCTTCTCACCTGACCCTGAAGTCTTTGTTTCCAGACCTCTGCTTGTCCCTCCCCTTAGATCCATCCACTGCTGTGGGCTGAGCCTCATTACTGGTGGGATGTGCGGATTTTCAAGCCTTTGCTTATGTGTCTCTGAGAGGTTGCTCTTCACATTTCTTTCAGCCCTTTGGACGTGGCCTTGCAAGAATGCAGGGGTAGGGGGATCCCCAGATCATTGCTTGCATCTCTTAATCTGGTTTAACCTGTGATCCAGATTAAATGAGTTCTTCTTCGCCAACTCCAAACAACTCTCACCTCTTGCTGTGCACAATGAGAGGAATTCACTGCGTTTCACCTTCCCTGGTGCTGGTTGTTCAGAGCCAAAACCACCTGCTCCTAGCGTGCCCTTTCCAGCCAGATGTTCTCCGGCAGGGAGTCCCCTGATGACCGTGGAGGTCCTTCCTCCATCACGGTGCTGAGTTAGCGACACCCAGACCTTTGCCCACTGCTCTGAGGGGGCTCAGCTTGAGGCCATTTGTGCATCCATCCCCAATTTGTTGCTCCATGAAGGAAAAAACAGAAGAATTTTCCAACTGGCAGTCTCGCAGCTGCTCGGGGAAAGGCTCGAGGAGTGTGGAAACAAGGAAAGGGCAGTGCAGGGTTCCCGGCGACCGGTGTTCTCCTGATTTTACAAAGTGCTGCCTTCAGAGTTGCATCCAAAAATAATCTTGACATTAGCAAAAATTCATCATTATGGGGGATTTTATGGCACCAGCTGTGTCGGAGAAATTAATTTAAAAATTCCAATAAATGCCACAATAGAATTGTTAACTTGTTCTCCTCTCTAAGTGTGAAATTCTTTTCAAAGCATTTCAAAGGCGCCTTCACCCATTTGCACATACATTATCGCAATTGCTAAAATAGGCTTTGCCTTGGCACTTACATTTTCTTGAGGGATGAACAGAATAAGCATTATAAATTTCTGTTTAGGGATCTGGTTTTGCTTTTAATTTAATTTTTGTTGCCACCAATCCTCAACAAAAGAATTTGTTACCCAACAAGACAGATAAAATCTAACACATCTGCGATGAAATACTTCCTGGCAAGTGTGCTTACTCACGTTAGCGTGGGCTTCTGGAGACATTCGTGATGAAATACTGGGCAGCAGGAAGACGTTTTCTAGATAATCTGTCACTGAGTCTTTAATTAAAGTTTTAAATTATCACAGTTGATACAGATTTCAAAGTAAAGATTTTGATCATCCCCTCCACACACAAGTA